CCGAGGGCTTGGCCATTACTCCGCCGATTTAATTACAACACGTTAACTCATTCAGTCCATTCGTTTTCTCAAGAATTTCGGNACATTCCCAATCTTAAACAGTTCGTGGCCGGAGAGGGTATGCACAAAAACTAGCCCCACCAAAAATTAGAGCCTGTGTTTCACGAAAACTTGGTTCGAATTCATATGAACTGCTCGATGCTAAACACCGAGTGCTTGGCCATTACTCCGCCGATTTAATTACAACACGTTAACTCATTCAGTACATTCGCTTTCTCAAGAATTTCGATGAATATATGGCGGGCCTCCATATTCCATTGATTCTGCCTTATTACAGGGTACCCGGCTTCTTAAGCAAACAAAAACAAATGTGATATCCCATTAGGCTCGAAACGCATCCCTATCGTAATCGATCCGCCACAATCGGATAAACCGCGTATCGATAACTTGGTAGTGGGACTAGTCGAACAGAAAGGGCCATCTTCAGGTAAATACTCAAAACCGACGCCACTTTTCTTGGGATTTTCTCCGTCACAAACGTTTACGCACGCTAAATATCTATAAGTAGACGAGGTAAGCGGTACACGTAGTAACGGGGTTGGTTGTGTGTAATGGTGCATAATAAAAATCCACACCCGTTTCGATTCACAGTTATTCTCAAACTAACTCTCAAGTGCCATTTCAGAACCATGGTACTCCCGCCGTATGTGAAGGTTGGCCAGCAAGTGCAGCATCTGATGCGTCTAACAATCAAGTGGGACCATAAGGACGCGCTGCCGATATTCGCGCTCGATGTCGACCCAAAAAAACCCCCCTTGGCCGTGATTCCCAAGGGCTCGGATGGCCCGTACTTGTCGGCAGCCGAATCGGTTTTTTGTCGGTTGCGTGGGGTAGGGAAGTCCTCGATCCTCGATGTCTGTGCACCGCCATTCGAGTCACAAGCGACTGGCGGGCAAATTCGCGTCCTGTTCGCCCAGTGGCATGACGAGCCGACACACCGTGACGCAATTGGCTATCTACGTATCAGTTCTCCTGACCAAATCGGCTTCAGCGACTTCAGGACGTCACTGGCCAAAGGCGTACCACGCAACATGTTAGACAACACCGCCTTTATTGTCGGTTTCCGTACGCCATA